GTGGTTTTTGTATTAGACCCGTCGTCCATTTATTTGTAAGTCAATGGGAATTAGCATATATTAAAGGAATAACGTGTTTCTCTAGTTATACAACACGTTACGGAGTTTATGTATGTACATATCATCATTTTGGTTTATCTTCAGTTATTTTGATGTAAATATTCGTAATATGTATATTCATTTTTGTGACACTAAATGTCGCGATGAACAAGTCGTAGGCCTGGTGGTAAGCGACATGCCAGTCCAAAGCATTTGCAGTGCCACTCAGAGCTTTCAACCACATAGATCTGAGGTGCACTGCTACTGCGCCCGTCACCCCGAGACATAAGTTGACAAGTCTCATGTGTTTCGATTTTTATCGTTAGCAAAAGATCTCAGGACATACGTAGTTAAAGATGCAAAAACAATGTATAACTTTTAGTACTTCCTTTATTAGGTCAAATTCTCATGTACTAGGGCTACGTGACTATTCATATCAGAATACCATGTTATAAATTTATAAAATAGTTTCATTTTTAAAATATATTATAATTTTAACTTCTATAATTCTATAAAATTATAACAGAGTATTCGGATATGAATGGTCATGTAGCCTTAGTACATGAGATTTTGAACTTATAACAATAAAGGAAGTATTAAAGGTTATGAAGCAAGTTCATAGCGAGTTATAGCAAAATGCTCTCGCCAGAGCGACACGCCGCATTAATAAAGTTATAAATTGGTTTTGCGCAGGGAAATCGCGGACAAACCACTGTAACCAGCGACATTAGGGCTTAAACTCCTCTGAATGTCTTCAATTTGGATACGAGTCCCTGTCGAACCTTTGTCATTTTAATCATACTTCCGATCTTTCAAAATAATGTTATTGAAATATGTTCAATTTCCTGCGTTCAGTAAGACTGGTATAATTTGGTGCGTTTCATCGTACCGGATATGTACCTACTTAGAGACAGTTTCAATGATTTTAGAGGCGAACAAAGGCGTTGTTATACAAATTTTGATATATTACTTAAAAAATAAAAATAAAATATAACGGAGCAATCACATGATGATAATTATGATACCAATACTCATACTGCGTGAAATTTTGAAAGAGTAATCATTACTCTATTAAGAATCAAAATGTTGACATTTTTATACTCTATTTTCAATTTTAATTACTTAGAAATCACAAAATGTTAATTAAATCAAAAGACATCAATAAGATCAAATTGCTAAACATGACTACCTATTACATTATTTTTACTAAATAAAGACATCGGTGGCATAACTACTATCTTATATTCACTAAATAAAGGATGTCAATGGCATTATTACACAATTACGATTTTCATCAAATTATGTAGTGGAAAGTATCCTCTTGCTGCACGCTATAAATTGGGTCTTTTTCGAGAGTAATTAGCATTATCTAGGTGCGCATGCATCGTCGTCGAACTCATCGTCATTTCGATCAGGTAAGATGTGCACTTATTTTTAAACAAAAAAAAAATGTTGTAGTGGACACATTCGGAGTTATTCTGAAGCATGCTCGCTCTAGTCGTATCCGATAGCTACATATGTTCGTATCGTACTGTAATGTTTCTGTGTCGCTAATCATAATAATCGTTATTGTTTAATGGCTCTTCAAGAACCTTTCATAAAGCCCCGTTTCCAGGCAACCGTCGGCAAACAACGGTTAACGACTACGCCGACGATCGATCTAGTTTATAGCGTAAAATTTACTGACACCGTCGTTGCCTTATAATAATTTAGATTAATTTAATCATTTAAATCACAAATTTCAATAGGCGATGTCTACGGTAGCCAATCATCTTGATTAAGCACTCCACATCTGTAATGGGCAAAAGTCTATCTACCAAACACCTGGCTAAGTACACATCAAAGTACAATGTTTTCCGTTGCCTGTCGTCTTGTCATTTCAATTACTACGCTTACACTTTCATAATCCATGGCCTCCAATAGGGAACTGTGACACGAATTAATCCTGAAATTTCCTATATTCTTAATTAAATATTATTGAAAAATGAGGGTCCCCTAGTTTTTGAAGTAGAATCGAATATTGCTCATATTGTGAGAGGCAATAAAAATACCTCGCGTCAAATCTGCGCCGCAATCATTCATTCGAAATGCCATCGGGCCGCCCCCTCTCCTCCCTATGCAAATTAATCCGGTGCTGGTATACCCGTACCAGCCGACCCCATAAGGCTAAATTAAATAAGCCAGTTCGTTCTAAATTACGAAGGAACTACGTTTGAGTGTACCTGTGCGGTTTCATAAAGATCTCTAAAATTCTGCGAATAAAAAAACGGTATTCATTATAATTTGTGCTCAACATTTGCACATACTATTTAGATGCCAAAATTATTTTACATACTTTTTGATTTTACCGTCGTCTATAGACATTAAGAGGATCTAAAGAATGTGTGTCAAAGGAGATTAATTATATTATATTACTGCATATTCCTATTCCGAATCATCTTACCATAACGTGTGTTATATATAATATTCTGTATATTGCGGCTTTTATTATTAGATTTTTTTTTTATTATTTTTATTAGAAGTTTAATCTAGAAAATCTATAATTGGCGTTGTTAGAGACTTATGATATCGTCGGTGTTTTGTAGAAAGGGTGTAAGCAAAAATTCGCCGATTTTTCATGTTTTTGGTTTTAACGATTGTTTTAAAATATTTAAGTCCTGTAGGAAACGAAACTATTTTTCCGGAATTATATCGCGAATATTTATATGTTTTTTCAAACAAACTGACGTTTCGGGCCCTTTACAGATCCCATTGTTACGGTTACAACCATTCCTATGTGTAACATCACTCATTTCCTATGTGTAACAATCGCGAAAATCTAAGAACTCGATATTTAAGTCTTGTTTTTAAATTAAATTTTAAACTTAATTAAAACCAAAATTGAATTTTAAAACAGTCGATGAAACCTAAACATTCCCAATAAAAATCTACCATATGCCGCCGACGCCTTTTCTACCAAGTACCGTCTACATGTAAATTTTCATGTAATAGGCTTTTATTGTGATATTCTTATTGAAGTCTCCTGTGCTAGCAAACAATATAATTATAATTATTCGTATTCAATTTGTTTCTTTTAACTGTAACTTTATTTAGACTGATACTCAGTTTACTTCAATTAGTTTTGAGTTAAAACTCGTAAAATACAAGGTAGGTAAAGTGTTCCCCGTTCCTTCCTCCAAAATTGGACGAAAGATACTCCCTATTGTTATTAATTAATTTTAATCAGCATTCCGATCTTAGATATTAAACCCTTGCGTCTATTATCGTGGTTAATGTAAAATAGGAATATTGCACATGAAACTAGAGTTTCCATAACGTTAAAATGGATACCGTAATTTTGTTAAATTTCGAGAGTATCCCAAATTATAATAGTGATAGCATTTCTTTCCTATGTAAGAGATTCTAAGGTGATTCCCACTGCGGGATCTGCACCATTTACTTTACGAATCTAAATAAATAAATAGTGCTATATATTTTACTAAATCATTAAAGTAAGTGCTAATTAGTAAACTAGTATACCGTACTAAAAAAACATAATTATAAGTCAAGTCCCCAACCCACCGTTGGCCCAGTGTGGGCTACCACTTATTTTCTTTTCATAGACGAGACCTGTAATCAATACTTAGTCGAATGAGAGTTTATCCAGTATTTCCCGTGAGTCGCTCCAAAAAGCTTTGACAATCATATTATTTTTTCAGACCTCTACTAACTAAATCAACCAAATAGAGAGATACGAAAACAAAAAGAAATAATCGAATATGTCACTCAGAACGTCGTTGAGCGGAATTGAATCGCGTGTAATTCAGATATTGACTCCGATTTTCGTTCTACCCCACAAACGTCATGTCACGTCAAAACGTCACTCAGGGAGCGCGTCAAGGGCCGGAACGATACGCTCCGTACCCCGTGCCCCGTACCGTGCTACTGGGATCACAATAAAAGGGTTTCCAAGGCTGCATAAAATTTTCACGATGAGCGAGTCGAATGTCCAACTACCTGAAGAGTTAAACCAGCAATATCTTATTACAAAAGTTATTTTGTTTCTTGTGGAAAATTTGCACAATGAATTACTTTATCTCTAAGTTTCAACTAGTTACTAACCCGGTAACACACACATACTCACACACACACACACGCACACACACACTCGCAAGGACAATGCACATACTATAAACTTGTTAAATTACTCCTTAACACATTTGTGCATAATAGCCTTAGGTACAGAATTTTCTCAATCAAGAGAGGAGACGAAGGGTCGTATTCTAGAACTCTACTCAATACTCAAGTCAGGGTTTGAGTATGGTTTAAAGCACTCCAAATCATACTCAAGTCCCTGCCATTAGGGTCGTATTTCCAGTGGTTGTGTTTCCAGTGCAATCCTGACTTGAGCATTGAGTAGAGTTCTAGAATACAACCCTAAGAGTCCCAAGATACAGACTTTCTTACTTTAGGCTTCTATCACAAACATTTATATTTAAGCTCTAAAAATAGAAAATAAATAAAACAAAAATATTAATACATTAATTGTTCTAAAATAAATCATAACATTCCTTGGAGTCTCCTATCACAGGCATTGCTTTGCTTAAAAGGAGACTCCTGATACTGTGATTGTAAAATGTAAACTTGTAATGAAATAAATTATTATTATTATTATAGATGTTTTTTCCTCTCAGCCTGTTGACTGGTTTTAACAGCATCTACGGACCGAAATCAAGTAAATGCTGTAGGGCTTGTATGTATATGGTGAGAGTGTACTAAGGACCCACTTCGTTCTCTTCCATCTGCATGAACTTTCTCACAATCCTACAAGTATTCAAAATTACGGATTTTTGTAATGTTATGTAGAGGTTTTCTTTAAAACCTAATAATTTAAGACTATGAAGAAGATGGTTTGGAATAACGCCTGTTGTAGAGAGAACAATTGGGATAACATATACTTTTTCCTGTCGCCAAATTCTAACTAATTCATCTTTGAGCTCTGCGTATTTACTAATTTTTTCAATTATGGTCTTCTGTATGTTATGTGTGTTAGGAACTGCAATATCTATTAAGTATGTAATTTTATTTAATTTGTCTTGTAAAGTTATGTCAGGTCTATTAAAATGAATAGTTCTGTCAGTGAGTATGGCGCGGTCGTAGTAAAGTTTGTGTGTTGTATTCTCTAGGATAGTTTGTGGTGTATACTTGTAGTATGGAGTGATTGATTCATGTATGAGTGCGTATTTGAGAGCCAGATTCTGGTGAATGACGTTTGCTACTTGATTATGTCTATGAGTGTAGTCTGTTTGAGCAAGTGCTGTGCAAGCTCCTGTAATGTGTTGAATAGTTTCTGGTTGGATTCGACATTTGCGACATTTATCATTTATTACTGATGAATCTTTTATTATAAATTTCCTGTAATTTTTTGTATTAATTATCTGGTCTTGGATTGCAATCATGAATCCTTCAGTTTCTGGGAATAAATTACCTATTTTAAGCCATTTATTTGATGCTATTGAATTTATATGTGTTTGTTCCAAATCATGAGGATGTCTACCATGCAATACTTTTTTCTTCCAGTCTTCAATCTTTTGTTTTTGCGGGTCGTCGTTGTTAACATTTTCTGTGTCTGTTTGTTCACTTAAGTTAAGCGGGGTGTAATTATGATCATTTAGAACTATTGCTTTATGTATTTTACTAATAGCTGATTTTGAGTAAAAGAATGTTTTTAAACGACTCACTTGTTTTCGCCAAAGGTGTTGGATGTCTATTAGGCCTCTCCCTCCTTCTTGTCTTTTGATTGTAAGTCTTTCTATTGCTGATTTAGGGTGTAAGTTGTTATGTTTCGTAAGTGTAGTGCGTGTAATTCTTTCAAGTTGTGCTGTGTCTGTTTTTGTCCATCTTATAACACCAAATGAGTAGGTCAATATGGGGATAGCATAGGTATTTATGGCCTTGATGAGATGTTTACCTGACAGTTGAGTCTTACATATGGCATTAAGTCTTTTTTTATATTCTGTAGTAAGCGTGTCTTTGATTCTTACGTGATCGAGGCCCTTCAATTGTGCATATCCTAAATATTTATATAAATCAGCCGGTTCCATTGCTGTTATTGTATCTGTATTATTAATTACATAGTTACCAGGACGTACCTTGCCCCGTATGATGTGAAGTGTTTTACATTTATCTAGACCAAATTGCATGTTGATATCTTTACTGAACTCTGCTGTGGTTTCTACTAATTTCTTCATATCTTTTTCTGATTGTGCATATAGTTTAATATCGTCCATATATATAAGGTGCGAGATGACTGTTTCTTCGGCAGCATGTTTATGGCAATATCCAATCCGACGTCGTTGTAGTAAGTGAGACAGAGGGTTAAGAGCAAGACAAAACCACAAGGGACTTAAGGAATCCCCTTGGTATATACCTGTTTTAATGGATATCTGTCGCGTTGTAACGGTGTTGTTGGTGCTATTGACTTGAAGTGTTGTTTTCCATTTTGACATTATATTGCGCAGAAAATTTATTATTCTTGTGTTTATTTTATAGATTTCTAATATTTGTAATAACCAGGAGTGTGGAACGCTATCAAAGGCTTTTTTATAGTCAATATAGGTGCAATGAAGGTTTCTGTTTTTTGTGGTGGCATGTTTATGTATTGCTGAATCAATGATCAGCTGTTCCTTGCATCCCATGTGGCCTCGTCTACAACCCTTCTGTTCCTCTGCCATTATACTGTGGTGTTCGATATGCGAGTTGATTTTTATTGCGATTGCCGATGTTAGTATTTTGTATAACGTCGGTAGGCATGTGATCGGTCTATATTGGGATGGGTGAGATGAATTTTTAGTCTTTGGTAGCATGTAAGTTATTCCTGTTGTAATGAAGTCAGGTATGTTCTGTTGTCCTAATATTATTTCTGTAAAATTTTTTGCTATGATTTGGTGTAGAGAAGTTAGCTTTTTATACCAAAAATTGTGTATTTTGTCTATCCCAGGTGATTTCCAATTATGTAATCTATCTGTTATACTTGTAATGTCAAACTCTGTAATTTCTTCAAATTCCATTTCATCTATTGCTCTCCAATTTGTTTCCTCTACTGTTATCCATGTTGCTTTGTCATTATGTTGCACTTGATCTTCCCAAATGCCAGACCAAAATGTTTCTAGTTGTTCTTTTGTGGGTGTGCTAGCGTTGTTCGTGTTTGTATTATTTTCTTCATTTGTACTGTTACTTGGTTTTTGTAGGTTCCTATAAAACAATTTTTCGTTTGTAGTGAATATGGTGTTATCGTTTCTGCGTTGTTGTGATTTCTTATATCTTCTGAGCCTATGAACTTTAATTGCTAATTTTTGTTTTAAAGTGTCTAAGAACTCTTCCGGTTTTTTGTTGTTACTTTCATGTTTGGTGTGTGTTAAATTGCTCCGAAATATAGCCTCAACTCTCTTAACTACTTTATTTGATCTGTTGTTATTTATATACTGTGTAAGTCTACCGCAGTCTGCCCTCAATTTTTCTATGTCTTTTTCTAATCTTTGTTGCCATGGTGGTTTGATATCTTTTCTTGGTCTAGTATTTCTTGTATGTTCTGTAATTTTAAAGTTTAGTTCTTCCGATATAACTACCGCTGTGCAGTATATAAGTGTGTGTATATCTGTTAGTTGTGTGTCATTAGTGATAAACTGTTTGAGTATATTTTCATTAAATAAATTGACAAGCCGAAAGAGATTGGGGCCATACTTAAGTTTAGGGAGTTTAGGTCGAACTGCCGGGTCCATCCCAGAGTACTGTGTTAGTACAGTTGTTAACTTGTCATGTAGCTCTTGGGCAAGTTTATCTGTTATAGGATTTTGATCTTCGTCGACTAAAGTTTCAGTATCGTTTTCTAGCATGAATGCAACTGACTCGGTTTGTGTGGATGTTTGTGATATTTGTGTAAACCCCCGCGAGTAATTATTTTGATGTTGTATGTTATTTTCCAATTGAGCACCTGATTGTGATTGTAGTTGTTGAGTAAATTCAGTAATGCTTTGTGACAATAGGCCAGAATTAGGGTCTGAGTTATTATCTTCTTCTTGTAGGCGTACTCGTGTTTCCTGTTTTAATTGTTCTAATATTTCTTGGGACAGAAGTTTATTTCTAATTATAGCTCTTCTCTGATCTGAAAGTCTTTGTTCTGAAACAGTTACCTCTGGGTATTGTCGTACAAAAAGTTCATGCAATTGTGGTCTGTAAGTGGTCATATTGGTTTCTAATTTAGTAATGTAGAAGTAAGTTCGCATAATAAACATGTTAACATCTTTGCTCCATTTCATGCGAACTCTTGGTTTGTTATTATTATTATTATTATTATTATTATTATTATTCCGTTTTCCTTTCGTGTGGCAGTGAATGCCATAGAATTGTCATCACATTGCTTGCATTGACACCGCTCTATTCAAGCTATTTCACAACCGATGAATACCGAAGCGAGCGTAAAATAGATGACATATCCACACGAATATCCGCTACCGAACCCGTGCGAGACTGCAGTGATTAATGCAAACTACCTACCGTGTAATTTTAGTACGTGTGTTAAAATAATGATACCTACCGCAGTTATTAATGATCGTGTTATCATTTCACGCCTAATAACTAGTACTAGCAATACGCTATTACAAACACAATGTTACAAATCGTGTTTGCCATCCGATATTGACAAGTCGTTCTAATTCACAACTAAGATGACTCTATTAATTGCCGCAACTGTTGGTGCTGTATAATTTGCATAATTCGAATGATGGGTATAATTTACTTGAAGCAAGATTAATTTCTATATTTATTGAAAATGTAGCAAAAATGTGGAATACTTTCAAATTCAAAACTAATCTCAAAAAAAACTAAATATAGAATGTAGTATAGTTATGGAAATACATCGTTGATGCGGCAAATGATTATAGGCATCGCAAACATGAGTTCTATACGGAAAATATAACATTAGGTTTTCAAGATTTTAATCCGGCACAAATGACGCGCGACGAAATCTATCTTTGATTTTCCATTTTTTTATTCCAAACTTTTAATGCTAGGCTCACTAAGCTTTTTAAAGCTAGTTTTGGTAACACATGTTTTTGAAAATTAGCTTAAATATTTAAGTAAGCAATGATAAACTCCAACTAATTATAATACGTTTCACTCAGACTACGGCAATGACTTTATATTAAAGGTATGAAATAAATACAATTTGACATTCTTTTTACTTCAAATGAGCTTAGATAAATTGCTGTAATATTACATATATCGTGTTTTCCATAAAAAAAAAGTCAAATCAATGTGAGACTGTGAGTGAGTACCTTAGTTATTTACATACAGTTTTGTTGGACGTATCGATTTCAAATATTGAACGAAACTTTGGTTTTTTATTTGAATCGGCTTTAGTACTCCAATGATACCAGGTCGTTCCTTGATTTGAGTGCTCCCGGAAATTGCGTTGCAGACCCGACGTTGTCTCAGTTGGATTATTGTCAATTCGGCGCGTCATTTCCGCCTTAAGAAAACATCCGGTAATTATTCGGAAATTGTCAAATGTTACAACAGAGGCGGTTGTTCCAATGGATCACCTGGAGAAGGTTCCTGGGTACCTGAAATGTTTATTTACATAGAGATGCCTGTTTTCGCTTATAATTAACTCTTTATTCATCATCAGAAACACAATTGGTCATCTGTTGGTCATTGGATATGGAATGCTGACAAAAGACTGCAGGTACCTGCTTACGAAAGTGGATAAACTTTTGTGATATTGTGTCGTATAAAAGTTGTCGCTCTTGTAATGACGCAAATGAATTTATGTCAATTTGCTATTAAGAATTGATAATATATTGATCATCACGGGAAAATAATAATATTCCTGAGAAGAGGAGCATTTGTCTCGCAACCGATATAGGTTTGGTTATATGTCAGCGTATTGTTCGGGCTACATTATTAATTATATCCCATTGGCGACCGTCGAAAATGCCAGTTATAGCAATTTCATCACCGGAAAATTGAGCTCTTGTTTGCTTTGCAACGCTAGAGGCAAATGTTTGGAAATAATATTGGAAGCCTTTGCGACACACGACAGTCAATCGAGATGTCTCTTTGAGCATTCATTGTAAATTTATTGTAAGCATTAAAATAACTGCTCAAGTAGGAAACCTCTGTTCTTCCATTTAAGCCCCCCTTTTTGTTCCCTCTAAGAGGCTGTATTCCCGCTGTTGCTATGAAAGGGTTGCCATAACAACTGTCGGTTACGTCGTTAGCGTATACTGAAGCCTCTGACTAAGTAGTATTTGTACGTTGATTGTTTGATTTATTTCACGATGTTTTAACACTGTGATAAAATTCTTTTTTAATGAAATTAGCCCACTATTTTTTGTTATAATTATTAATACAAAGATTCCGAGCTTTGAGAGATTACGACCACGCTGTACCGTAACATCACTCGATCTGTACGATACTGCACCTATATTATAAGTGTATATACATGTATGTTATGATATCAAGTGATGGGAAAACCGACACTTGAAAGACTATAAACTTCTAAGACTTGAAAGCTACAATACTATGTATAATTATGAATACAAAGATTGAACACAAAGTACTTATATGATATAAATGAGTCCACCTGTGTACAAATTACTTTTTATCACCTTCGTGTATTTTGTGTTTGTATTGAAGTCTGTATTTATCTTTGTGTTTTATTTATTTTTTTGTAGTAGTTCGTAGTTTCCATTATCTAATCGACTGTTTGTAACATCTTCGTTTTTCACGACAATCGTTATGTAAACATACATGGTTTTAGACTGGGAACTGTCACTATATTTAATATTATCGACAAAAGTCTTATATTGCAATCACAATTGATAATATCATGTAATTTATTTCCAATCTCAATCGCTTAAATTTATTTTTTCGAACAAACCAACGTTTTGGACCCTTTACAGGTCAGACTGGCTGGTCATGGCAGACTGAGATTACTAAAGACATCTACAAGTTACGTATAATGGGGTTAAAGTATGAAATTGCCGTTTTATTGCAATAGGTTCTTTGAATTTTCATAGAATCTTCATGGTTTGAGGTTTTCGAATGAAACTTTTTTCAAATGGTTTCTGTGATTTTTTTTTTAAATTTGAAACATTTGAATATCGACTTTCAATTGTTTTTGTTATTCAATCTAGACAAGAAAGATGGATACTGCGAAAATTCGAGTGATTTTTGAATACGAGTTCCGACGCGGAACTAACGCGGCAGAAACAGCCCGCAATATCAATGCTGCGTTTGGAGAGGGGTCTACTAATGAACGCACCGTGCGATTTTGGTTTAAACGCTTTCGTGATGGAAATTTCGACTTAAAGAACGAGTCACGAGGAAGACCGCCCACACAGGTGAATAAC